GGAAGAAATCACGATGGATTTTATCACAAAGCTTCGCAGGACCGCGCGGGGAGCGGATTCGATCAGGGTCATCGTCTATCAATTGACCAAGAGTGCCCAATTTATCCCGATTCAGGAAAGTATTTCGGCCGAGAAGTTGGCCGACATTTATATCAGGGAGGTGGTGGCGCGGCACAGGGTGCCAGTATCGGTGATTTCGGACAGAGACATTCGGTTTACTTCCAGGTTCTGGAAGAAGTTCCATGACGAGCTGGGAACTCGTCTGCATTTTTAGCACCGCTTTTCACCCACAAACAGATGGACAAAGTGAGTGGACTATCCGGACCTTGGAGGATATGTTGCGAGCGTGTGTCTTAGACTTTGGAGGTAGTTGGGATACTTACCTTCGTTTGGCTGAGTTCTCATACAACAACAACTATCACGTGAGTATTGACCGTCCTCCCTTCGTGATGTTGTACAGGAGGAAGTGTAGGACCCCAATATGTTGGGGTGAGGTTGGTCAGAGGGTTATGGGGAGTACCAAAGTAGTACTTCAGACTACAGAGGGGATCCAACAGGTCTGGAGCAGGCTTCAGACAACTCAGATTTGGTAGAAAAATTATGCCGACAAGCGCCGATCCGACTTGGAATTCTAGGTCGGGGATATGGTCCTACTGAAGGTGTGACCTTGGAAGGGTGTCATTCGATTTAGGAATAGGGGAAAGTTGGGCCCTAGGTATATTGGACCTTTCAGGGTTATAGCCTGGGTGGGCAAGGTGGCATATAGGCTGGATCTGCCAGCCGAACTCAGTCAGATTCATAACAGCTTTCATGTTTCCTAGTTACAGAAATGTTTGGTGGACGATTTGGCAGTAGTTCCTTTAGAGGACATCGAGCGGCCAATGGTGATCCTGTACAGGAAGTCAACGGATCTGAGGAACAATTGAGTGGAGCTGTTAAATGTTCAGTGGCAGCACTGGAAGGGCTCGGAGTGGACTTGGGAGCCGGTAGACGAGATGATGGAGCATTACCATGAGCTGTTTCAGGATCGAGCAACAGACTTCGAGGACGAAGTTTAAAATAAGTGGGGGAGATTTGTAACACCTGGTTCCTGGTACGTAACTTAAATTAATCATTTTTCATTTTAGCCTAGGACTCGGTGAATTGGTGGCCCAACTCATCGAGTGGAAGCGAATTGGACCCGGAAGGCAAGTGGCTGACTCGGCGAGTCAGAAGTCGGACTCGACGAGTCCGTGCTGTCTGGACAAAAACCCTAATATGAGGGTTTGCACCCTATATAAACACATTAACTCGGCCTCCCTTGTCCCTAACACTCCCCTAGACCTGCATATCAAAACCCTAGCCGTGTATGTGTGTGTTAAGGCCATTTTGGTTCTTTTGTTGACTTGTGAAGCTTGGAAGAAAGAAGAGGAACTTGAGTATTCGAATTGGGGCTTGTAGATCCAGAAATCTCATTACATTTCAAGCTTAATCAAGGTAAAATGCTCATGCTTTGGTCTTTCATTTGGTTGTTCATCTTTAGAATGTGGATCTTGGATGCATTTAGGGCTTTTCATGTCATTTTCGGATTGAAGGAGTGTTTTGTGGACTTTAGCTTCTGATCTGGGCCTTAAGAGGGGTCTCATGGCATAAAGGTGCCAACTTTAGGGCCAGAGTGCCCCATGCACATTATAAGACACTTTATATAGATTTTTGAGCTAAAAACCTCATGCATGTGCATGAAGTTTGGAACTTTACGTATGAAATGGACACTAGGAGGCCAGATATACGGTTTTGATGTGTTAGACCTCATTTAAATCGATTGTATGGTGTTGGTCAAGATTGGACCCGACGAGTTGTTCTTGGAACTCGATGAGTCGGTGACCATTGGTAAATGATAGGAAGAAAGTCCCTTGTGGGTCTACATGCGAAAAGGGACCTGGAAACCTTGGGACTCGGCGAGTGGTATGAGCAGACTCGGCGAGTCCATAACAATCTCCCAATCTTTGAAGATGGACTCGACGAGTTGTTCATACAACTGGGCGAGTCATAGACTGGACAAGTTCTAAAGTTAGAGATGAACTCGACGAGTTCAATAAGGAAGTCGACGAGTCGGATGAATATGGCCCCGATGTGATGACTAAAGGAGAACTCGTCGAGTTTCGCTAGACTCGACGAGTGGAGCCGGGGTTTTGTGTGGGTTTAGTGAAGCATGGACTCGAAGAGTTGGTAGACCAACTCGGCGAGTCAGGTCAACTGAATGTTGACTTTGACTGAACTTGGACCGACCCTGTTTAGGGTTGTATGTGATGCGTGTTGACTTGGAGGTTTTCGTGTAGGGATCGAGGAGTCGTAGGGAGTCGACTTGTGCGCCGAAGATATTTCAGACACTTCACGACATTGAGGTGAGTTACCTTCCAGTAGGGATAGGTCTAAGGCCATAATGCCGACCCACCAAAAAGGGGTGTTTATAAGATAATGGTCTTTGTGATAATTATCTTGGTCAGGTTATGTGATTTATCTGGATTATATGTTATGTGTTTAGTAGGGATTAGTTTCCCTAACAAGTGGTACATAGGACCTAAGGGTAGGTCAGTACCCGGATATGCCTCACTGTATGCTTATATTTCCTGATTGCATGTTAGTAGTAGGGGGTGAAATAGTCCCCAGTTACCGGTTGAAGGATACCAATGCTGACTACCGGTTGAAAGATACCAACGATACCGGTTGAAAGATACCGATGATGGTTACCGATGAATGTTACCGGTTGAAAGATACCGACGATATTGTGTAGTATGTGGTATGATGGGGGAACTCACTAAGCTTTGTGCTTACAGTTTTGGTTTTGGTTTCAGGTACCTCTTCGTCGAAGGGGAAAGAGCTGGCGGTGTAGCAACGCATCACACACACTCACATGTTCCGCAAGAAGTTTTGGGACCGTACTCTGGTTTTCAATATTTATGATGTTATGGTTTGAAATACAACATTATTATTTTGTATTGGATGTTTTATTAACAATGTTTTGGTAAAAAGTTTGTTAAATACGTTAAACCAAAAATGAAATTTTTGGCCTTGAAAATTGGGTCGTTACACAATCTTTGCATGGGGTTTTAACTGCCTTTGTGTTGAATTAAATTTTTGATGTCATTGAATATCCAAAAAATTTAAGATTGCTTCTCATCTTTATTCTTTCACACACAACACACATGAAATCCTTGAGGTTCTGAGTAACACCAACTCATGCTGATGATTTCAAGAATCTGGCAAATGACTTTACTTTGAAACTCTAAAGTACAAGAGCCTTACCTCCATCCGAAAGGTTCCAACGGTTACTATGAGGGGACTGTTTGAATTCTGTGTGGGTTTTGAGGAGACGTGATAATTGCTTTATCACACATGGTTACTTTTTCATCATCTTGACGTGGTTTTCTCGGTGACACGTCACAGATCATTAAATGTTTATACCGCTTTGATTTCAAAATTCAGAGTTACATATAAAAGGGGATTCAAGGGTTCATTATCAGTTTACGCTTTCATATTCCCAAATTTTCTCTGATAAAAATCTAACTCTCAAACCCTAACAATGGCAATGCAACTTTGTCTCACACTACTGATGATGTAACCTCATTGCCAATAATGATGATTCAGGGCACAAATTACCAAGTTGAAGCAAACGTCTCTCAATATCCTGAAGAACTTAAAATGATCATTGTTGCTCTGTATTATCAAAAGCCATGTTCAACTCATTCTATGTTCCTCTTTCATGGCTGTCTCAAGCTGGATCAACAACTACTTACTCGAAAGATTTGGATGCAGTTTTGTTTAATCTAGTGATAGATAAGAAGGTTAGACTCTTAAAGAAGCTTTTTTGCCAAATTCTCGATATACCTAATTCTCCGCCATACGTCACTTTTACATTCCCACAAATTGTTCACATGTTCAATGAAATGGGTCATCAAACCCAATTGTCAAAGATAAGTGATTTCAAGAAGTCAGGACTTCCAAGTGTTTGGGATTTTTTGCTCGAGATTTTTCTCAGATGTTTAACTGGAAGAACTGTTGCGTTAGACAATGGGAGGATGGAAGTTTATGCTATGGTCGTAGGCTTATACTATGATCTTCAAGTTTATTACTCTACTCAATTATGGAAAGAGTTCTTGAAGAGTATTGAGAACATGAATGCTCTTCATGGCATTTCGTGTGCTCGATACCAAAGTTTGATTTTGCAACATTTTTATGAGAAAGAAGGGATTTTGGTTCCTGCAGATGAAGAAAAGGCTATGTTCCATGTCTATAGTTGTCCGAAGGAAGCAACTGATGATACTAAAGAGTTTCCATTTGTTGCCCGCATTCTTTATGCCATGCTTAAAAGAGTTGATCCTACCAACACAGTTCTAATCACTTACTTACAAACCATCGATACTTCTGTTGAAATTGGGGTTCTTTTGGCTAGAGAAGAAGAAAGGAAGACTAAGCGTTCGAAGAAGGCTGCTGCTGAATCTTCTGAGAAATCTGTCAAAGAATTTAAATCTACAAAGAGTTTGGAGAAGTTAGCGATTATAGAAGCCGAACCATTCAAACCCAAAGTTGTTGTTGTTGATACCCCATCCACTCAAAAGGAAATCATTCCTTGGAAGACTGGTGTCTTTCGAAGAATCAAGATGAAATGAAAACATAAGAGTCGATCACGTCTAACAAATGTTGTCCGCAAACCACATGTTTCGAATCAAGGAATTCTCTTTCGTGAGATTCCTGCACCTGCTTCACCATCTTCTAAGAAGCGAAGGGCAACTGATATGGCCAAACACATATCAAAGAAGAAGAAGAAGAAGATTAGGGTGATCATCTGATCGGTTTCTACTGCTGATGAAAATGAAACAATTCCAGAAACACCAGAAGTTGATCTTTAGAAAGACTCTTCTCATCCTGCATCAACTGATGTAATACCACCCATAGCTTCGGTTGCCAAGGCAGTTTCTGAGGAGGCACGGACTTCTGACATTTTTGTAAATATATTTCATATGGATGCAGATGTCACAATGGGTGAGGATGCTTTGCACACAGGAGACAAAGGTAAACCTTTGGATATTACCCCATATATTCTTGTTTCTTTACCTCCACAACTCACACCTATCATTCCTATTACATCCACAACTGATTCTCCTACCTTTGAAAACATCAGCAAACAACCAATTACATCTCTTTTTTCTTCACAATCCACTGATCCACCTACCACAACTTCACCAATTCAAGATTCTTCTTTCATGGAAACTGAACATGAGTCCAAAGGTTTTGGAGGGACATTTGAAAATCAAGAGTTTGATGAAGAAGAGATTGACTTCCTAGATCACATGCTCATGACAATGAAACAGTTCAAGATATTGAATACAAAACTCAATTCAATTCTTCAATCTCTGGCTGATCTTGGGGGAGTAAATTCTGTGACCAGTCTCAAAGTGGATGGTCTGTTAATGATGCTTGAAGGGAGGATTTCTTCGAAAGTTTCAGGAATGACAAAAGGATTCTGAGTCTCGTCTCCTGGAGAAAATTGATCTTTGTGATCATAGTAATGAGATGAGGGTCAATGCTTAGAAATCTACTTTTGAAGATGCCCTGAAAGAATTAAAGTTGGTTGCAAAGGAGAGACATGTTTTATTTGTTCAAGATGTGAAGAAAGTCAGAGAAGATGTGAATTATATACTCCAAGAGCTTAGACAAGATATGGAGAAAGAGATTGCAATTGTTCGTACTGATTTTGCATCTCTCAATCAAAAGGTGGAGATCATCTGTGATGCAGTTACCAAGTTTGTCAAGTTGTATGAAAGTTTGAGTCCCCAAATTGCTCAACTTTCTACAACAGAGAACAAGAATTTCATGGAGGCTTTCACTATGTTAAAGGAGCTTAAAACCTTATTTTCAACACCTGCTTCATCTTCTCTGCTATCCTCTGAAGATCTTATCCAGAAATTTTCTAAATTAGAAGCCTTACTTCTTCAACAGTTGGCTCCTCTTTCACGAATATCCAACCTTCTTCCCACAATGGATGCCCCACCTGCAAGTACAGGGGTGCAAGGGGAGAAAGGAAAATCGAAGGTTCGAAGGCTAGAGGCGAAGATGCGAAAGTGGTGGGAAAGGTGTTTCCTTCTAAGATCCCAACATTAAAACTAGTGATAGCAACTGCTGGTACTATCTCTTCAACAATAGTTACAACTATGCCAATCACAAGAGCAATTTCAAAAGGAATTGTGATTGGTAAATCTACTGAAACTGGTGGAAGTGATACGTAAGCAAAAGAAGTGATAGAAGAATCTGTTTCAAAGGCAAGGGGAATGTCAATACTTATTGAAAAATCTAAAGAAGAGAAGAAGGCAGAGGCTGAGGCAGAAGTGGAAAAGATGAGGATGATTCAAAGCATAAACAAGGGTGATCCATCAAAGCACTATAATTATAAAACAATTGAAGCGAAGGTTGCATTCAATCATATGTATTCGTTTTAGAAGAGGTGTAAACAGAGTTATATTGCTACAAATACGGATGCAAGCCAGTTGGACTTTCCAGTTAATGAAATGATGTTCATCATGCCTGAGTTTAAAGCAGAAAGCAAATTCAAGGAGAATGATGAAGGTATTCAAATGAAGATCATATTTCATGCGGTTCCTGCGAAGCCCGCTGAAGAAGTATGGTCCTTGACAAAGATTAAGAAGGTCATAAGCATAAAGAAGGATGTGGTCTTTGAAAACACAATCCAAAACATGAAGTATATTGTGACCTGGGCAAATGAACAAAGAGCCTGATGAGTACAAGCGGGGAGTTATTCACATCAAGATATTTATTGAAAATTATTATGAATGTTTAGCATTGATGGATGTGGAGTTGGCTACTGCTAAAGGTCAGGAAATTATAGTACCCATGGCTCCTTCGAAGACACAAGCAGACTTAAAGAAATATGCTGATGGTGAAATCTGCTTGAAGCCTTTTGGCTTAGTCTTCTCTAGGAAGGACAAGTTAGGAAAATCAAGAAGGTTTTTGTTTCAGGCGAGTGAGGTCGAAAGATTGTAATGCCCCGTTCCTGGTACATATTTATTTTGATTAAATGCTCTTTTAGGAAGATCTATTCGGCGAATTGTAGCCCTAATTCTCCGAGTAGATGTCGAGTTGGTTACGGGCTTTAGGTGATCTACTCGGCGAGTCCACACATGGACTCAGTGAGTAGGCCAATCAGGAGGAGACCCTAATTCTTAGGGTTTGCAACCTATTTAAATGACCTTATAGCCCCCATCTCAGCCTCCATCACCCTCAGAGCATTCCTTATCAAACCCTAGCCGTTTTTAGTGAGTGTGTGTGTGTTAATTGCTTGTGAAGGTATATTTGAAGTAAGAAGGAGAAGGAGAAAGTTAGAGAGATAAAGGAAGAGGAAGTAGATCCAGAATACACACTCTATTGGTCATCTTTTCTGGTATTAAATTCTATACCTTTCTTATTGATCATATAGATCTATGTTGTCCCTAATTTGTGGTTTCTAATCCCAAAAACCCCAAATCCCTTGTGATTAGGCCTTGTGGCCGGGTTATACCTCAGATCTGGACACTCATGGCATGCTACAAGTATAAAGTTTTGGTTGTGGTTGTGATTAAAGTCCCCATTGAGCCTAGAACCTCATTAAGAGCTTATTTTGGTCATATGACGCCTTTAAAGCCATTCATGCACGTAAAGTTAGCAACTTTACGTGAAAAACATGCCCTAGAAGTCTAGATCCATGATTTGTAGCAGCTGCATGGCTCAGATCGGACTTGTATGGAAAAAGGGCTGAATGAACTCGACGAGTCCACAGGACGACTTGACGAGTTATATGAATTTAGCCGTCGACTCGACGAGTTGGAAGAACAACTCAGCGAGTCCGATGAAGTTTGCCTTATAACTCGACGAGTTGTATGAGAAACTCGGCGAGTCGGATGAGTTTTCCCGAGTAAAGTTGTGTTTGAGTAGGATGGCTTCATTCCTTCGTAGTAACACGTAAAGTTAGCAACTTTACGTGTTCAGATGGTTCCAAGATTTCAGATCTGCAAGTTAGGAGCCATAGATCGGATTCGAGTGTAGTTGTATGGAATCTGCTCGACAGAACTCAGTGAGTAGTTCCTCAGACTCGGCGAGTAGTTCCTCAGACTCGGCGAGTCCGGTCAACTAGAGGTTCGCTTTGACCAGGAGGCTGACTTTGACCAGGGGTAAAATAGTCATTTTACCCTTAGTACAGTTATTAGTAATTAATTGAGTGTATTTATGGAAATTGTAGCCGGGGAGATACCAGAGCAGCAACAGTCGGTTTCCAGAGCAGTTCGTTTAGCAGCCAGTGTGCGAGGTGAGTTTCTTTCCAGTAGGAACGGGTCTAAGGCCATAATGCCGGCCCGTTTAGCTAGTAGTAGTTTCTGGACTTCGGTCCGATGCAGTTTTAGTATGTTTGATGCCTTCATGGCTCAAACGGGATTTATGTGTTATGTGTTCCGGGCTACAGCCCGATGCAGTATGCAGTTTATGTGTTTATGCTAGTTGTTATGTTTATGCTATGCTATGTTATGATCAGTTAGTTCCGGACTTCGGTCAGATGCAGTTAGTTCCAGACTTCGGTCCGATGCAGGGGATAAGGTCCCAGTTAGTTCCGGACTGTGGTTCGATGCAGTTAGTTCCGGACTTCGGTCCGATGCAGGGGACAAGGTCCCAGTCAGTTCCGGACTTCGGTCCGATTCAGTTTCTAGACTTCGGTCCGATGCAGTGGCCAAGGCCCAGTATGTGTGTATATGTTATTGTATGGTATGTGGTAGCTTGGGGGAGCTCACTAATCTTTGTGCTTACAGTTTCAGTTTTCGTTTCAGGTACTTCCGCAAGTAAAGGGAAGAGCTCGGGTTGATGGCATCGCACACATCACAGCTTCAGTTTGTCCTGGGAGTTGTTTTAGCTTTTCATAGATGTGATTTGATACAGTCTTGATACAGTTGCTTCGTGATACTTTTCTATTATTTTGAGATATTGACGTACGAGTTTTACTTTATGATATTAACATGATGATTTTTAGTAATTATTAAATAAAATTTTTGGGTTGTATTTTGGGATGTTTCAAGTTGGTATCAGAGCCTTGGTTTGAGGGATTCGGGCACACTCTCGAGTGTGTCTAAACTCAAACTAAGGAAGTGGCATAAAGTTTTCAAGAGAAAAACCATGTTTAAAAAAGAATTTTTGAGAAAAGAAAACAAGTTTAGAAAAAGAATAAAGAAAAGAGTTTTAGAAAAAGCGAAAAGAGTTTTGAAAAGAGAAAAAGGGTGTGGTGCATGCAATCAGCCGAGCTCAAGTAAGTACTCCCAAATTACCCATACAAGTTTATGTTATGAATATCAGTTTCAGTTTCAGTAGAACAACATGCTAGAATAGGACTAAGGATCTAGGAGGATGCCTTATGTGCCTGCTATATATGTTTCAACCTTATAAAAATTGCATGCTAATATGGAGTAGTCAGCAGTAGGATAGCCTGTTTAGGTTATGTCGGATAATATGAACTTAGCATTGTATGCTAGTACAGTTCCCCATTATGAGGATAGAATTGCTTGAGTAGTCTCCTATGTCTGAATGTTGCTTGCTTTGTGCTTTGTGGGACTCTAAGTGATGGGAGTTAGCCATTAGGTGAATGCGTCACATCACATGTGAACAGGGTTGAATAATCTCAGAGTGCTAGACTTAGCCCTATTGCGCATCTCTTGTCTGAGTCTAACCATTGTAGGGATGAGTCTTTTACTTGAAGGATTATTTGAGCCTTGCCGCATATGATGGTATTCAGGTGATGGCTAATTGGCATCACTAGGAGGCTTTCAACAGCTGATGACCGGATCGGGTATAGTTAGAGGATTCCCTAGGGCAAGCCTAGGATGGGAGTAACAAAGATCATTAGCAGTAATAGTGACTTGGTAGAGTCAAGGCAGTACTTGAGGAAAGTACAGATAGATGTGGAAGGTAGTATGGGCCCGTATTATTAGAAGCAGAGGATCCGTACTCGAATCAAGGAAAGCTGAGATGAGACCAGGAAACTTGTGGTAGTAGCGATTCCTCGAGACATATCAGTGTTCCTGACATTTATTATGTTGTGTTTCAGAATGGTGGTATAACGCCCTAGACTACCAGTCGGCAGTTCAGGTGCCAGAGGGGGATCAGGATCAGGCCCGGAGGCCGGGCAGTTGGATGAGCAGACTAGGGAGTTTCTCTCTTCAGAGATTACTTGCACCATACTTGAGTAGACTCATGTGATCTTCGGTTCGATCAAGGAGGGTATCTTAGAGATGATGGACGAGAGGTTGAGCACCTTCGGTGCTGAGGTGGTGGCTATGATAGGGTCACACACGCTTAATTTTAGGGAGTTCCGGGTATGCGGGGCTCCGGATTATCACGGGGCTTGAGACCCCATAGCGAGCACCAGATGGTTGGCAGATGTGGCCAACGCCTTCCGCACTAGCAGATGTCCCGAGGGGGACAAGGTCAGATTGGTATCCTGTCTTCTGAAGGACAGGGCACGAGATTGGTGGGAGGAGATTGGTCATGCCATCGGGGATGATGCAGCCTTGGATGCCATGACCTGGGCAGAATTTACTACCAGATTCAGAGCCGAGTTCGCACCGGTTATTGAGGTGCATCAGTTAGCACGCGAGTTTTAGGATCTTACTCAGACTACAGAGACAGTGGCGGAGATTACCGCCAAGTTCAGGGAGAGGGCTCTTCTTGTTCCTCAGTACGCGGCTGATAAGGAAATGAAGAAGGCTCGTTATCATGAGATGATGCAGAGTGATATCCGTCAGTTTGTGAGCCAGTCCAACTGTAAAACACTGCATGACATGATTGCTAGGGCTCGATAGAGAGATATTGACCTTGAGATGGAGAGAAAGAGGAAGCCGGAGGCGGCTCTAGGTACATGGAATGCAGGCAAAAAGCCCAACGGTTCAGATCACAGAGCTAGGAGTCAGCAGAGCCACGCTCCGTGTGGCAAGTGTGGGAGATTGCACGATGGGGCGTGCAAGGCAGGGAGTGCCGGCTGCTACAAGTGCGGTCGGACTAGGCATATGAGCAGAGATTGTATGGCCACTACTGCTGCCGTTGCAGGATTAGACCTGATTTGCTTTCATTGCAAT